TATCAATCATCTATTGCCTTTATCTCCCCACTTTCTTTTTTGTGCTTATTGCTCTCTCGTCTCAAATGAAGGTTCAATACCAGAAATTCTCTCCAGAATCGCGCAAACAAAAGCTGTGCTGTCAAAACTGAAGCTTATTTGGAAGGACAGAAACATCACGCACAACTCGAAGATCAGACTAATGCGATCACTGGTCATCTCAATATTTTTATACGCCTGTGAGTCGTGGACACTGACAGAAGAATTGGGGAAAAGGATTCAGACAACTGAGATGAGATGTTACCGCAGACTCCTTGACGTCTCGTACAAAGACCACATTTCAAATGCTGAGGTACGGGACAGAATCACCAACGCAGTGGGGCAGCATGAAGACCTACTGACCACAATGAAGAGACGAAAATTAAAATAGTATGGGCAAGTCACAAGATCCACAGGACAAGGAACCGTACAAGGAAAGAGAAAGAGAGGAAGGCAGAGAAGGAGATGGGAGGACAACATCACAGAGGGGACAGGGAAGACGATGCGTGATAATCTGAGGAAGGCAGAGGACAAAGAGAAATGGCGAGAGCTGGTTTTCAGATGCAGTGATGCCCTACGGTTGCCCCAACCACAGGACAGAAGAAGAAGAAGACTCTCTTGTAACACCTCTAATCTTCGGCACTTATATGACCTTACTGTGTTGCAAGGGCCGTAAAACATTTACGAAAACAAAAAAGAAAAATGTGGCATACGTCTTTCTTGAACAGAACCCCCGATACAAGACATAATAATATATCATGTCATTTCTATACTTGGAGAATCCCTTTCTCTAAATAAATCGACGTATCTTTACGTCAATTGTCTCTCAGCGCAGACAAACGTTTTCTTTCACTGTTGCCCGTTGAGCTTTGGTCCTCCTTCTTGTAAATATGTCGCAATGCTGTCAGAAAAAGCCCCAGATTGCTCCCAGAAGAGCACAAGAGACACTAGACATAGCGAGAGAAAGAAAGAAAGAGAGAGAGAGAGAGAGAGAGAGAGAGAGAGAGAGAGAGAGAGAGAGAAAGAGAGAGAAAGTGTATGTATGTGTGTGTGTGTGTGTGTGTGT